CCTGCTGTGCCTGGTCAGTGCACAGGTGCTCCACGGTGCCCTGCCTGCTCCCTTGCTGCACCGTTTCCACCCCTGGACCTACAGGCCAGGTACCAAGCCCGACCTAGGGAGCCCTGGGCAACCGGTTGGGGTAACAGGTGCTTTGGCTGAACAGGGAGAGGAGGCTGCAGCTTTGAAAATGAGTACTGACTCCTCTGCATTATAACCCATTAGGTGTTAACCAGGAGATAGCACTAACAATATAATGTAAGGAAACAGCCAAATTTTGGCAGAGAGAGCCAGAGAGGGCACTGAAAGATATTGGTGTCACTTTGAGGGAGATGTGTTGCAGTTGAGTTTGCTGCAATGGGAGGAGGGCTTCCCAGCAGGAGGTGACATTTGCCATCGAGGGGATGCGGATTTTCAGGCTGGTGGCTCCCTAGAGCTGCAGGTGGTTTCATACATTACTCAGTAGCAAAAGTGCTCATCTGGATCATCTGCTCTGGCCTCCTGTACCGCATGGGCCGCAGGAAGTACACTGGCACATCCTGTGCTGAGGCCAATACGGTCCTCCCAACAGGAAAGACATCACTTCAGAGAAAAGGCTTCAAGGTTGGACAACTTGGCCTGTTTGCTTTTCGGACTCTCCCAGCAACCAGCTCCTTGGAAGAAGCCGTAGTCTTCTTGGGGCAATCAAAGCCTCCAGTCTTTGGTAAGCTTGGGTAAGGTAGGGACCACCTTCCTGCCGATGGAGACAGAGTGGAAACTCCCCAGTATTTCCTTCAGGATTACCTATGGCTGTTGAGAGGTTTTTGTCCATGTAGGTGATGCAGGCCTTAGCAGGGACAGGAGCAGGCAGGTCTGTTCAGCATGTGTTCAGCACCCTTGTGCTGCTGGCTGAAACCATCTTCTGTCTCACTGAACACACCACCATGATATGCAGCTTAGCACAACCACAACTGCTCTAACAGCTATTAATCAGCGCTCTAATTTCTTCTACATAGGAACAAAAGAACTGTTATGCCTTGGATGTGATGGGAAACTCAACATTAAGGAGTTTGTATTCGCTGCATTGGCCTTGCTGCTCCTTAGGTGATATTCCTTTACCTAGCTTGACCTCTGGTGGTTCTCACAGAGTGAAAGAAAATGGGGTAATTTTCATACAAAAACAGTAGAACGGGCTTCCTTCAAGATCGAGGAGATGGTGAGCTGAGTTACTAAGTGAGAGAAGCAGAAACAGCTTGGAAACTCAACAAAACCAAGATTATAGTGTGTCACGAATACGAAAGGAAAAACACATCAGGAGGAGGGTATTAAGCTGCTTTAATCATTGCTCAATTAACTTTAATGGGTTTAGTCAACACTGAGGCACTAGTTATCATTTTGGTGCCTTTGATGAAAACACTTTGTGGGGAAACAGCTAATTAATGCAGTAGTTTTTCCATGTAAGCCTCTCTTGCAATGGAATTAATGTCTTTTGGGTTTAAATAACATCCAAAGGCCATAGAGAGATGCTGTTAATGAATCTTGCTGGAGCAGCTTCTTACATTGTTCTTGTTGGACAGATGGGAAGATTCCTGTGCTAGAGGATACCTGTGAGCTGGTATCAGAGATGTCCTAGATAGCTGCGTTAGTGCCCAGTCCCTTTTTGCTTCCATTTTCCCATCTTGTGTCCAAGTCCTTAGCCACAAGATGTTCCCACAGCAGAGTTCCACCAGTCACTCTGGTGTCGCCTGGAAAAATGTGATTCCTCTGCTTTCTTATCACAATCCCCAAACTTCAAAATGACAAGTGAGATGCAATTTAAGTAACAACGTGATGAAATCTGTGACAGCTGTGATATAAGCTCACGTATGTCATCTTGAAAAAACTCAAAACAGAACAAGTCTAAGTCTAACAATAACAAGTCTTCCAAAGTCTGGTCTGAGGCAGATGACATGCTGATTTATGATACAGTACAGGACCGCCTTAATTATGTGAGCAACCCTCTGTCATGGTGCTGTTAAGTGCTCAGTACAGTTTACAGAACTGAGCCCCTACCACTTGACACACATCCAAATAGCAGATAAATCACATTCCCCAGAACAATGAAATGATATATTTTTACAAAAAGAGTTAATCTTTCCGGTAACTCCTTTTCAGTGGATCATTTGCCCTTTAACTAAAAAATAAGTACCACAGCTATGTCAACAAACAATGAGTTTTCTATTTTTTGCCATAAATTTTTGTCTGTGTGCTGTTATTTCCTCAAGGCTCATCTCCTCAAGCCTATGATCAAGGCTATTACATCTTGGTTTTGCTCCTATTGAAGTCAGTGGGGGGGTTGCCAGTGCTGTCCGTGGGAGTTGGAGCAAATCCTTGTGCAGCTAACTGGGAGTAGCAAACTTAAGTACTAGCAGAAGCAAGATGAAGGGACTCACAAAAGGAGATGGGTCACAATGTTCTGCTAGTTATGAAAGCTTCATAAATAATGTATTTGTTGCCTGCGAATGGGAGTTCTCTCCAGTTTTTCCATGTTCTAATTATATACTAAATAATAAATGATTCCCTCTGTACATTTTTTTGATCATTTAACTATCCTTATTTGATATGTGAAATCTGCATCTGGGTTGCTTAGCTTTGACTGGACAGGTTGACATCTGAGTTGTTCCTGTCTGAACAGGTTTCTGTTCCTCAGC